TTTTTTTTTTTTTTTTTTTTTTTAACTTTTAGATGGTTTTGTGCGTGAAACAAAAATTTGTCCCTTGGTATATATTGTAACATATTTTAAAACCTTTTTCTAGTGTTTCATCCATTCATTCCATAGTTTTGTTTGTACTGTGACCATTTTAAAATAAAACATAAAACCAGTATCTTTTGTGCTATCCAGTTCTTTAGCAAATCCAGGGTACCCCTAGTGTATAAGAGCCAATGTAAGAATGTTAACATTCTCTCTCGCTTCCAACAAAAATTTTGTGCCCCGATTCTTGATCATAATACATTTACTTTTAAATTAAAGAGGGATATTATAATTAGTATGGTTTGGTGATAAAGGATATCATAATTAATGTTAATGCAGAGGAATACAATTGAAAAGTAAAATCATGATTTATCTTCAAAAGTTTACCTAGTCCAAACATGCTTGTCTTTTGGATCATCATTTGACCAACTTTTGATCTTCTAATATGTCTTAAAGCCTGAACATCTTCTTCTTTTCCCTTAAATTCCAGGAACTCCCCCAATACAAACTTGTTGCCTTTAAGCTCCACCCTAGAAAACCAAACAATCTATTTTGTTAGTGAAAAGCTATGATTTGGTTATATTCTATGATACGAAAAAGCTCTAAAAACACAATACTATGCAGTATTTGGGCATGGACATCTTATAAGCCCCTCTTTCATCGACAATTAACAAAAAAAAAAAATCTCAGCAGAGTTGCAGATTCTGATTCAGAAGAATTTCCTTGGCTGCAGCTAACTCTTATTTATTTATGTAGGGCTAAAGCATCATATATTAGTGGATTAAATCATTTAAAAAGAATGCATTGAAATAGTTATACCACTAAAAAGAAATACAAGTAAAATAGTGACTCATCAAGTACCAAATGGTAACTAACCTATCCCATATTGGAGCTGAGCTAAGGACAAAATCAAGATTCTGAGTAACAGATTCTTGCATATCCTTCTTCCCACTACGAAAGGCAGTCTTTACCCAACTGGACAGCGTGCTTTTATGTTCTGGCTTCAGTTGCATCCATTGGTCATGCGTAACAACTTCAGATGGAAAACTGCCTGCAGGAATGGTACTGCAAATACAATAAAAGAGATCAATTATTTAATTTTAACATACATTACCAACAAGGTTAAAATAACAAAATTATCAGTTGCTTTTTACTAGATTAGCAGATGCATTTTTCCTGTCAAAAATACTGCTTGTCAAGTGATTGAACCAAGTATCGACACTTACAATTTATGCAACAAATTTCTAACTCAAACAATTTCAACTAGAAATTACACAGCCCCATTTTCTTCATTTCCTGCAAAGAACTATTTAAAAATAGAAATTATAAAACATATGAATACGAACTACGAAGAATAGCCACAACAGGTCAACACATGAAGCCAAAATTGGCAAAAGTTCCTAAAAAATTAGCGTCACAAATTTTTTGCCATTACTAAGACAAAATGGGATCCCTATTGTCCAAAGTTTCCAGCATAAAAATTATCTGAGTCACTCTCCTGAACATATTGTAGTGTGAATTTGTCTATTATTTGTTGCATCAAAGTTGACAAAAGTGGGATTTAATTTATAACTTCCCAGAGAACAAATAAAATTGAAGGGCAGACATGAATATAAAAAAACAAAGGTTTTAAACATTATAAAAACATCTTTTAACGTAGTGTTTGGTTAGAGGGCAATAGAGGGGAGGAGAGGGATTTTTATAATCCTTTCTTGTTTTGTCCAAAAATTTGGAGGGCAGGGGAGGGAAATGGAATGGAGGGCTTTTTATAATACTCTCTACTATCAATTTTGCCTCTCCTCCAAAAGCAGTGGGATTTGAAGAGGAGAGAAGGTTTTACAATAATTGGACTAAATTATCCTTAAGTTGGTAATTTAATTTGTCTATTCCAAAGATATAATAGTAATTTACTTTTATTTTCCCTCATCGTCGGTAGTGAACCAAACAATGTGTCCCTCCCCTCCCTTTCTTTGAACCAAAAGAGTGCATATACACATTTAAGTAACTGAAAATTTTGAATGAATTAATAATGTCTAACTCTAATATGATGAGATTACAATAACAAAAACAAACAAAAGTATAAAGCAAAAATAGATAATGAGCAATTCACCATGACTCTCCATGTTCACCATGATACCACTGTCATCTTCTAGCTCAGTAGCTCCTTATCATGAATTTTATAATTTAACACCTCAAAGCCATCACTTAGAAGCATTTTTATTTATCTGTGTCCTCTCTTTCAAGGTCATGACAGACTCGGTATTGAAAATCACAAATAAATTCCAAGTGATATTTGGATGAATTGAGCCTACTTGAAATCATGAACATCACAAACACAAACCACGTAGTATATTGGCTAACCACTAATCTAAAGAGAGTAGCACCTAAACGATTAGAAGAAGACATTGACAACATTGACAACATTAATAGCAAGTAGAGTGACATTACGGGGAGATTCAAAAACATACCATAATTTAGGATTTGGAAGTATAACTTTGAAAGATATATATCCTTCAGGCAGAGCAACCCCTCTTTGTTCAAGATATGATTCAAGGATAGCAACTTGCTTCCTTGCTTCTTCCACCTGTACAGAAGTTGAGAAAACAATCAACCCATGCTCTTCCACACCACAATTAATGCAGCCTCAACAACAAAACACAAACAAAAAAGAAACCAAACCACTCCTCACATCATTTAATAAACACCCAAAAATAGTTTCCAATTCACCCCACCCATCTTATACAACAGCACTCGATCAGGCAAATAATGATGCTAGTTTCAGCATCGACAAGAACATTTCACTGGTTCCTTACAGGATCAGGATGACGCTCCGCTTTATGTTTGTCTGGCTTTTCACAGACCCAACTACCATCACCACCAATTGTCAAAATCCCCGAGAAGTTTTTCACAGATACCACCACTAGCTCCCTGCAGTAATAAAGTGAAATTCAAAAATAAAAACCAAATCACACTTCAGCTATTTACATTGGTGCACATTAGAAAAAGCCCTGAAACGTAAGACAAATAGAAGATAATTGCAACAAAAAAAAAAGGGGGGGGGGACAATACTGTTTGGTGAGAAGAACGATGTCAATGCTCTGTCGAGAAGCGGTATCGGCATCGGGAATTCGAAGACCGACGTACACATTTGCTCCGTAAAGTTTCTTAAGCCTGCGAAAAATTGAAATCGGTTAGTGCCCTAAACAGAAAAATAGGGAGAAAAAGAAAAAAGAAAAAAGATAGACCTTTCTGCAACAGAGAAGAGAACAGAAGAGTCAGATCCTTCGATGTCCAAAACGTCGTCGTCGTAGAAGAAGCGTCGGAACAACCTGTATACAATCAAACCGAAGATAACCTCGAGCCACATCGTTGTCGCAACCTTCTTCGCTCTTCACTTCCAAATTCACCGTCAAAACTTTGACTACTTCACCTTTCAACACTTTCTTCCTTCTAAACTTGCCATCTTAACAATTTCTATTTTTTCTATTCAACTTTTATTAAATTAAATATTTTTAGATTTTTTTTTTTTTTCGTCCCTGCATACACACGGCAGGATTCGAACCCCTAACCTTGTTTAAGCGTGGATCAACCCCTATCGCTGAACCATGCGGTTAAATATTTTTAGATTTTGATTGAATGTATTTTATTATTAATAAAATAATACTAAAATTAAATATGTAATGGATAATAATTTAATAAGTTAAAGAAACTAAAATCCTTTTAGAATAATAATTATTTAATAAAATATTAATTTAATTTAATTTAATATAAAAAATAAATAAAAATATACGTAACACATAAATAAAACCACACAATTACAAAAGAAAAATAACCTTGGATTATTCTTCTTTTTTTTTTTTCTAGATGAAATTATAAAAATTAAATTTGTATTTAAGCCAGCTTAAAGTTGAAGAACATGACAGAAATTAAAGCATCTAAAGATCACTTTGTTAATTTGTTTTTTATACAAATTACTGCACTTTCATTTATTTATTTATTTATTTTGCAAGCAAAGAGTATTTACCATTCTGACATTACAAGTACTACCCCAATTAAAATCTCTTTGCTTTCTCCTCCATTTCCTTGCAGATAGAGGAAGGAATTTTTTAGTGTTACATATCCAGTTGGAGTTCAAGATACTTTCTCTGCCATGGGAATATTTTCTATAATAATGTGTCTTTTCATGATAACCACCAAGATCATGCAAAAGGGTGAAGGCAATGAATAATAATAGGACTATACATTTTGCTTTTGTTTGATGGTTGCTTCTGCAAAAGGCAAATGTTATATAGGTTCCTGGACTTTATTATTCACTCTAAATCATTCATCATGCGTCAATGTTTTTCTGCATATGATTAAGATATTAGAAAGAAAATGTCAGCACGGAGGATTTCTAAATTTTGACTTCTTTTTTTTACTGGAATTTCAAGTTTTTTAATTTTAGGTAATTAAAATATTATTAGTTAATACGACGATTTTTAATTTCTCACTTAAAGTTTCCTTACCAAACAAACCCAGACAAATTATCACTCTACTTTTCCGCGCATTCATGCATTAAGTAACTCAAATGATAATCAAGCAATTCATATTTTATGTTCGTAAATCATATTTAAAACACACATTTGAGATTTCAACAGTCTATTCTTCATCCAACAGTCGCAGTATATATATATATATAATATATATATATTATTTTCTTTTTATTTTTGACAAAAACAGTTACAACATGTTAATTACACGAAAGTATGGAAAAAAAAATAGACTGCACTGAGACAGTTACGATTATGACATGGTAGATGCGGGTATTCACATCCCTATAATCCAAAATTTCCTAGATTTTTTAAAGGTGAAAAACCTCTTTTCGTCTCTTACATTATTTAATATTTTTAATTTAGTCTCACTTTAATTTTTTGTCTCAATTTAGTCCCTAATAATTTAAATTAGTGTAATTTGGGACTTTCGTCCAAATGATTTAGACGGAGTTAACTGTTGGCCACGTGGATGTCACGTGGATGCGTACGTGGACGCCAAAATTCTTGAAAAAACCTGAAACCAGAACGGTCCGTTCTGAATTCAGAACGGCTCATTCTGAAACCAGTAGAACGGGTCGTTCTGCTTTTAGAACGGGTAGTTCCAAAACGCCATGCTTTTTATTATATATTTTTTTTATTATATCTATATTAATAAATATATAATAAATAAAAAAATACAATAAATTAATATTCATTTATGAATAAAACTAAAAAAAAATTAAATAAGATAAGACCTTCTAAAATATTTCTTTGATTTGAATTTATCCAGTTCAAAATCTTGACTAAAATGTCGCAATGTATTTAAAAAATTGAAAATAAAATTCAGGGTTTAGGGGTACCTCCTCAAGAACAGGTTACTATTGTTAGGGTACATCGTCAATGACTTTAAGAAAAAACATTATTTCGTTTTATCCTTGACTGTATAGTGTCAACTTGGTAGTAAGTAGTTCACTCCAGTTTGACAAACAATGAAATAAAACTTGTTATCATTGTCCTTAGTGATACACTGCATCATCCTTAATGATATACTGTATAGCCCAAATATTTATCTATTTAATTTATTAATCTTCATTAACAATATTATTAAATCTAGTGTTTGAAATACTTTGTATTTTCCCTAAAAAAAATGCTTTGTACTTTAGTTTTTTTTCACGAAATTCTGGACCAAAACAGCCCGTTCTGAAACTAGAACGGCCCATCCTAGTTACACTATTGATGTGTTAATTTTGGACCTAGAACGGGTCGTTCCAGGTGCAAATTTTACACATCAATAATGTAACCAGAACGGACCGTTCTAGTTCCAGGTGTATTCAAGTATTTTTGGATCCACTTACATGACATCTACGTGACATTCACGTGACCACCAGTTAACTCCGTTTAAATCATTTAGACGGAAGTCCCAAATTGCAACGATTTTAATTATTGGAGACTAAATTAAAACAAAAAATTAAAGTGGGACTAAATTGAAAATAATAAATAATGTAAGGGACGAAAAGAGGTTTTTAACCTTTTTTAAACCAATTTAACTCCTCTTATAAGGATACAAGTCTTGTAATTTATTTTCAAGAGATTCTATTTCGGATTGTCAAGAAATACCATAAAATAACCAGGCCAATTTTTTATTCGAACCAGTTTTGATATAATCAGTTTTTTTACGCATTCAAAAAAATATCATTGAAAATCGATGATTATTTAAAGAAATGTTATTCAAAGAATATGTCAATTGAGCGAGAATTGGATTTGATAAATTTCCAACATTTGTACAATGAACATGTTGTAATTGCTGCATGAAGATCAATAGTTTAAAAAAAAAAAATTCATGTTTAAATAGTCGACATTGGAGATCCTCAAACCAAATATTAATATTTACTTAATGATTAACCAAAGCTCAATAGTGCCTAATTTAATTTAAAATTTTCCTAGTTGAACTGAATGCGAATAGAGACTCACTACAAGAATTTCATCTAGTGTCAGAGAATCTCTTTGAATAAATATACCCACTAAACACACGTAATTCTAGCACAGCACAATGTATCTTTTGAGAAAAGTGATCATTATATGTCAAAGGGGTGGCAAACATCAGAACTTCTATCTAGACTTTCATTGGAATCAAGATGATATAAAAATACAATCCAACTTGCCACTTCTTTCGTCAGATCTATATAGAAGGGCAAGGGGGAAAAACATAATAAAGGGAGACAAAAAATAATAATAATTCCACCACATACAATTTACTACCAGCATGGAGAACCGCAACTCAAAATAAGTGACTAGGGGGTAAGAATCCTAAACAATATTACATGCCTCGTCATTCTTTAAAAGCTATTCAAGAAGCAAAAATCATAAAGCAAATACATGCAAACAATTTAATGTTCAATATACCTGCCAAGGTAAAAACTCTGTTCTATTTGTGGTTGCTACCACCCTTTTTCTTGAGCAGGCTTCCAAACTTGCCAAGCAAAGGCTTCTTCTTCTTCTTCACTTGTTGCTTTGATGGTGAGTTCCCGCCATTGTCAGCGTTCTCCTTCAAAGAGGTTCCATTAATCTGGTCAAAGCCCTCACCACCCTCTATCTTTGAGTCAGCTTCCTCTTCAAAGGATTCAGGCTCTGGATCTCTCTCCGGCGAGAACTCCTTTTTCTCAATCTTGCAGCTCTCCCACATTTTAAATTCGCGTTCAACCAAATCATCTTTTTCTTTTCCCCCATCTTCCTTCACTTTACCATTCACAATCACATTCTCAGGTTTGGGAGATTCAGTTTTCTCAGACTTGTCATCCAAGGGAATACTTTCTTCATGTGAACTTTGTTTGAGTCCCTCTTCATTGGCTGAAAGCTCCACCTTCTTGGATAAGTCTTCTCCTCCATGTCCATTCTCTTCAGAGAATTCAACTACTTTAGGAAGCAAGTCATAGTCTTTCTCACTGTCAGTAAGATCCCCATTTTCCTCAGTCTGGGTTCTGCTAGTAACTTCTTCGAGCAGCTTCGATAACTCCTCCACCTTCTTAATCGATGTCAATTCCCTAGATCGAAGTTCCTCATTTTCTTGAAAAACATTCTGAAACTCATTTTCTTTATCCAATAGACTCTCCTTTAACTTCATGGTCTCGGCCTTCTCTTCTTTTAGTTCTTCCTGCAGGTGGATCACCTCAGCCTCAACTTCCTTCAGATTTTCCTTCAGCTGCGCTTCTTCCTCCCTCTTGGCGCTTGCTTCTTCCTCGGCTTCCTTGAGTAAACGAATCAGCCGATTTATTTCTTTTCCCAGCGACGAGTTCTCTTCTTCAGTTAGCTTTATGCAGTTGACAAGATGATGTTCTTTCTGCTCCCACTCCGCCTTGGAGTTTTCAATGTTGTTCTTAGAATTTTCAACACTACATGTAAGAATGTCAATCTCATGCCGTGCATCATGGAGCATGGACTCGTATTTTTCATTAGTATATTTTATGAACAACTTTAAATCTTCGATCTGGGCCTCGTCGTTTTCGTGCTCAGCATGGCTGGCTAATAGCTTTTCTTTGGCATCCCTAGCTTCTGCAGATACTTCATGTAAAGCAGAAGTTAGGCTTTCCATTGCCTTTTTAGTCTTTTCTTCTTCATCTCTACAGATCTCCAATTCATTAATTAGTTTGTCTTTCTCTTCTAATAGGGCCTGCGCACTTGAAGCTGCAAGTTTTTCATTGTTCAAAGCTTGAACCTTCTCTTCCTTGACTGTCTCGAGTTCAGATGTGAGAGATTCAACCTTCTTTGACATTTCAAGACTTTCTTCTTTGGCCACAAGAAGATGACGCTCCGACTCCTCAAGATCTTCCCTCTGTCTCTCGATTGTCATTTCCAACAATCCCACCTTCTCTTTAAGACTTGAAATTTCAGATTCTTGTTCATGCAACAAATCATTGTTCCCTTCTAACTGTTTCATTGCAGATTCCAAAGATATTGATGCAGATCTCTCCAACTTGTTAGCTTCTTCAACCCTCATTTCTAGTTCCTCAACCTTTTTTGTCCACTCCTCTAGCAGACTGTGAGCATAAGATTCAGCCATCTTGGAAGCTTCAAGCTCAACATTAAGTTGTTCAATATAACTCTCTTTCTCTGTCAACTTTGCATCATAACCTTTTGCCTTTTCAAGTTCTTCCTTAAGGGTTTCTATCTCTGCTTGCAGCTCCAATACAATCTTGTTTTCACTGGCCTCAGTTTCTAGCTTTGAATCTAGTAAGGCCTTCAACCGTGTCAGTTCAGCTGAAAGAATCTCTGCTTTCTCCACATGAAGCTCGGCAATTTTAGTTGCGTCGTCAGCATGACTCAGTGCCTGGTTCTTTGCATCATTAGTCATGGCAAGTTCGTGCTTAACCTGCTGAAGCTCCTGAGTAGTGGAGAGAAGAGCAGCCACATCCAAAGCATGCTGATTCCTCACACTTTCAAGCTCGTTCTGCCATTCCTCTTCCTTCTTCTGAGCAGCTTCAATTCCAGCCTGTTCCAACTCAACAGCCCGGAACTTCTCAATCTCAGAATCCTCCTCGGCCCGCTTTTGAGCCACCATTGCCTCCCTGAGTTTCTCATTTGCTTCCTCAGTCACTCTCTGCGCTTCTTTCAGCTCATCAATTGCTTTTTCCTTCTCTTTCTCAACCTGAATCAGCTGTTCCTTAGCTTTCTTTAGATCTTCTTGAGCAAGATTTAACTGGGCCTGCAATTCTGAACCCTTTGCGGCTCTTGGGGGTTGTTTCTGAAAATTCAAGGAACATAAACACATATCAGAATACAGATACCACATACTGTACATCTTATAATAATGGACAGTCTAAAACTTCAAATTCCAAGGTAAAAAATGTCAAATAACTAAAACACGGTAACACATTTCATAGTTTTACTTATTGTATCACACTTGTTAAAAGACTCAAACATTCAACAAGTTTGAATACTTCATCCACAAACAGAATTGAAAAACAAAACAGTCTAAATCTTCAAGTGAGGCCATTTTGTAACATAACCAGACATGACTCAATATCAAATATAAGAGGGTACACAAAGTGCATTTACTGTGAGTAACATACATCCGGTGGAGTGGAAGTTGGTCTTGGTGATTTCCGTTCAGCAATGGGCTTTGGATTCGAAGGCCGTGGCGATTTTTCTGGTTTTTCTGCAGACAGGCGCAAATTTTGCAGCGGAGACGGTGACTCCAATTCCGGTTTGGGTACTCCTTTGCTGAGTCTACTAACTCTTGGAGTTGCAGGTGATGTTTTGTTGGGAGTTGATGGTCTTGCCTTGTTGGGAGTAGCTGGTGTTGCTGCTTTGTTGGGAGTTTCCGATAAACTGGATCTATCAGATTCACAATGTCAATATCATATCAATAACACATTGAATGAAAAGAAAAGACAAGACACCAAAAAGTAACAAAATCCCATATTTGCATCCAATCAGACACATGGATCTAAGCATACGGAAACCAACCCTTTGTACCAAATTCAGCAACTAGAAGCATTTTCAAGCCAAACTCATCAAACAAGAAATAACCACCAAGAGAAAGAAAAAAGGATATGGTAACTATTAACAAGTAACTCTACCCAGAACTGGAAATTAGGGCGAGAATCACAGACAGAGATGCAATCACTGATGAAAAAACATAATCTAACAAGAACACAAGAAGATCAAGACATAACAAGAACCAAAGACATAAATGAAGTGAAACCCATCTTTAAATTTCACGCACACACCAAATGTAAAACAAAAAAGCACCGAAATTTAAACAAATGAAGCAAAGGGGCTTTCACATAACTTTAGAAAATCAATCAAAAACGTGTTGAAACAGCAGATCAAAACCACCCAGAACAAAAAAGAAAATGTGAAGCGGTGCACGGAAGAAGTTGAAGAAACCCACATCAGATCTTGAAGCAATAGAGACACCCACAAAAGAAAGCACCGAACTTTACAAACCTGGATTTTGAAGCCATGTTGGTGGAAAAAGCAAGCACGCAAGTCACTACAACAACGACAAAGCGTGAGATGGCTTGCTAAAATCTCAAAGTGTCAGTTGCAGCATCGATAATGCAGAAGTTCCAACATTGTCAGAAAGAAGAAACATAACAAATATGGGATCAGAGTAAGATCAAAAATTCAAAAACTGTTCCTTTTTTTTTTCTTTCTTTTTTGGTTTGTGGGAAATTCTTGGAAGGAGAAGATGATGCAGAGAAAGAAATTCACAAAACACAAACCAAAACCAAATAAGTTGAGTTGGTTTTCCTGTCTCAAAAGTTGCCACACCAACACACTATGCTCTCTCTCTCTTTAACCATTTCATTTTCATTTTCCTCACACAGTGGAAGTTAAGTTAAAGTTAGTGTATATCTTGAGGAAGAGGAATGTGAAAGGACAAAAGTAACCCTAAATTTTCTTAAATCTGTGAAAGCCAAAGGCAGGTGTAGCTTTTTCAGAGGCAAAGACCTGTCTGAGACTCTTCCAACCTTACCCTTCTTTTCAGGAAAATAGATACTTTGCCATGGGATTAGGAACTGCCCCTGTAACTCTTTTTTTTTTTCTTTTTTTTTTAAATAAATAAAATATGATGACAATTGTATTTGCAACATGTGCATGTGTCGAGATTTTTCAAGAAAAATGTTTTGGTTTTATGAGCGAATTTAAAGAGATAGCATAGCAATAGCAATGCATGTTATTATTATTATCAATGGCGTTGACAGGTTGGATTATTTTAAAAAGAAAGGTGGAAGCATGTGAAGTTCTAATCACCAAACAATGTTCATCATTTTTACTTTTACTAATGTTTCTATGAATTATCATATTATTAAGTATCTATAAAATAAAATTTTAATATAATTTATTTCATAGAAGATTATAACTTTTTACAAATTGATTGGAGGATCAAAGACGTTACTATTTATATTAACTAATATAATATTTTATAAAAAAATTGTGGTGTATATTTAAAAAAAAAAAAGAAACACATAATCACTCTCATTTTAGCATGTGGTTTTATTTAAATAAATTTTATTGAGATAAAAATAAAATTTACTAACAATATCGAACCAATAATTAATTGACACTTTATTTTGTAATTTGTCGTTAATGAATGCGATAGTTTAATACATAATTGTAAAACGATAATTAATCACCATCTTTTCTGTAACTTATCATTAGATATTAGAAGATAAATATTTCATGTTTATCTTTATATTTATAAGAATAAAAATAAATAAATTAAAATAAAAGATAATAAAAGATAATAAAGATAAAAATAATTATAATATATAATTTTATTGCAAATACATTTTATTAAATTATACTTCCGATCTTTTTATTTTTGTCAATATGTAATATCAATTCCTTTAGTTTAAATTGTCACATATAATTTTCTATTCATAAAAATATGAAATTTCAATCCTATCATTTATTTAATGTTTATAAGTTGTTAAATTTTGATATTTTATAGTGATTTATTACCATTATAAATAACCTGAAATATAGAGATAAAAATTAAAAATAATATATAATTTATATATATTTTTTAAAAGTGATTAATATTTATTTATTAATAAATTTTATTTAAATATTTTTTAAAAAAAATTATTTTTGAATATTATATTTTTAAATATTACATACTTAAGTATAAATAAATATTAAAATTTTAATAATTAATAAATATTAATTTAATAAAATGACCAAAATTTCATATTTTTAAAAATTGAGAGATTAAATATTTCTATTTTAAAATAGAATGATCTAAATTACATATTAACAAAAAATAAATGAACAAAATGTGCAATTTAACCTTCATTTTTACATACAATTAAAAATTAAAATTAATAATAAATGAAATTATCCTTTATTATATAGATGAAAACAACAATGAACATTTGTTATCCTAATAGATGACCACAAGTTGACTTAATAAAAAATACCTTTAAAAAAAAATATCGCAACAAGATAATCTGACTGTTATACCAACCTGAGGATAAATTCAAAGCACATAAAACACTATGCTCTTCGATGCAATGGATATTGCTACAAAGTCGTGATCACCTTTCTGAACATAATCCAAAAACAAAGCAGTTTGCAGGTTTTTTTTTTTTTAATAAGCATAAAAAATATATTAATTTTGTATATATGCTTTACTACTTTACTCTCCAAGTGATAAAATATCCTCTGCTTTGCAAAATTTAACTAATAAACTAGCATAAATTTATAAGTTGAAAGTTGAAGGGAAAAACTTATAAGTAGGTTTATTAAATTAAAATAATATATATATAAGTAAAATGATATTTTCAATAATTTTTTTATAAAATATTAATTTAATTATTATATTTTATGGTATTATTATTATGATTGTGTATATCAAATATAATGATTGATTGAACTTGTATTTTATAAAAAAACTAATAAAAATGTTATTTCACATAATTTATATCATGATATCAATAAATATTGATTATATATATATATATATATATATATATATATATATATTTTTTTTTTTTTTTTTTTTTTTCTTTATTTTTTTTTTT